GAAATTCCCTGTACCACCAGAAGTTAGATCATTCAGCATAGTATTGTGAGTGAACCGACATTTCGACACAGTTATTTTAATGTATTTGAACAACCTTGCGGCAAATCCTTTATCCATAGTTCTTTCTTCGCATAAATTCATGGAGTGGTCTTATAACATATCCCCGCTTATTGCAGCGTCGTGTTCCACCGCTATAGTGGTTTTATGACAAGCTATATTTTATGCTCGCTTTCAAAATGAATTTTCGCACTGAAACTTTTTCTGGAGTACATGTTTTCGGTGACATTATATCATTAAGCTGAGTTTCATTTGCTGCAATTTTATCAAGAATTTTCGTTTGACACTTATATGTGCGCAATTAAATGGATTAAAGGATGCAGTAGGTTCAAAAGTCAAGCGTATTTTTCTAATTTTCCTTATCATTGCAAAGTTTATGTATACCTCAGTTACCTCAAACATTCAGTAATGTGATTGAAAGTAAGTAGCATGTCGCTAGATTATACAAACGCACTAGAATAAATGTTTCCAAAAGCCAGTTTACTCATAATCATATGTCCTCTGAATAGCTCAGCAAAATACTGTATAATTTCAGTCGATAATATCACGTGACAATATCACTGAAATATAAATTGGTCATATCATTTTCATCATTAACAATAACAGCATCCGAAGTGGTTGGTCGTGAGTGTTTTTCTATCGTTACTTAAACAGACAACTTCCAATATCTAATGATGCCAGGTATGTAAAAATGCCATCTTTATTTGGTCTAATCATTATTATCATTATTACACTTTGTTAAGATAGAACATTTTCATCTTAACTTCATCGTTTGTTCATAAAAAACACTGTACCATCTAACTGCAATAAGACAAGTTAATTCTCCTCCTTATCACCACAAACATACACATTTCCTTTAAACATTCACTTTAAATAGCTGTCCATATTGTTTGTTGGAATATGCCAGTGCTAATGGAACCCGGAATCTTAGGATTGGAGCAATATCAGCATCAGCAAGAAGTATAAAATCGCCTCTAAGTAATGTCACATGCGCATCCGTTGGAAAAACTTAAGTGAATAGAGCATATGCAGGCTGGCTGAACCTTTACTTAGTTAGTACTAGGTCATTAATGCCTAGCAAACATTTTTAGCCCTGGACAGTTACTTTTGTAAGGTGAGCAATGCATCGGGAGTTCAAGGTTACCATAGTGCTGCTAAAAAACAGTTTCATCGATACACGAGTTCTGCTTGATTTACTGCTTCAAAAATCAGATAGACTGTTGCTGCATATTTATTTGTACCCTGGTATTCATATTTCTTCCACCTCATTCAAGGAAATGGATTATGGTACATACTTTCGTGCTTATATATAACTGTCCTCAAATTTTCAGTTTCATCGCTCTCAGTAGCGTCAAAGGTCTAATATAACATAACGCTGTGGCTATTTCACTGCCCTTGATTCCTACTTAAATAGAGCAACAACTTCTGAAAATGCCAAGGGTGTGAGAATTTTCTTACGCACAAGTGCTCTCTTATGTTAACTGAGCTGCAGTCACTTTCGCCTGTGAAAGAGAATGCTTGCTTTTGCAGTTTTACAATGGTCAGCGAAACGGTATCCCTTTGGACTGCTATATCGCGTTAGAGCGTTTGCTTTTTGAAAAGAAATCCATACAAGTTCTTGAAATTTACCAGTCCTGTTAAGCAATATCCAAATTTGTGACCAGCAGCCACTATGAAGCTACGTATGATTACCGATCAGTCAATACCCCAGATGCTAAGTTTATATCAGAATTCAGTGGGGCTCTTCGAGTTGGCTTGGTGCTAACGAAAGGATGGACTGCTAACTCGTGTCGTAACCATGAGGGTGGTGTCCGGAAAGACCACAGCAATATCCCTTTCACTAGGATTCATTACTTATCAGTTGACAGCTATGTTCATGAAATCTGACGAAAGCATGATCTCACTTTTGGCATTTCTGTGAAACTAATAAGGCTAAGAAATATCCCGCCCAAGAGTCTTAAAAATTAGCATGAATGTTATGAAAGCGAAACCGCTGCTATGAAAAGAAACTCTAATCAGGAAGTTTTCCGCCATTGGGGTCTCACTAGTAAATACCTGAACTGGTATTGAATTCACTTCATTCTTATCTCAGTTGATAGCTCAAAGTAAACGTAATATCATGAAGGAATTAATTCATAGTTTGGCAGGGCTTTTCACCTGTGAGCCTGGTTCTTCTTACCACCTCACTATAGAGCTTGCACATAGCTCAAACCAGCATATTAAAGGTTTATCAAGGGGCTCACAAGAGTGGGATACCATGGGATTGGGTGGTCTCCTTTTAGGAGAGTTGTGGTAGAGTGAGGAATTAAACAACATGTAAATTGAAAAAATATCAGGGAAAACCCAAGGCTACTAACTGTGTTGGGTCTGCAGATGTGAACGAATTACCCAGCATAACCGACAATTGTTTCTATACTTCTAAGTTCCTTGACTGCTTGGAAGAATCGATGAACAATCATTTGCAAGATTGATCGCAAACATATACTGTTAAACATTGAATCAGAGCATGTATCCGTCAGCCACCTGTCTATTCCAGATAGTGGACAGAAATCAGATATGTCGATATCAATGCATAGTCAAAAGAATCAATAGCACAAAGAAAAATGTTACTAAGTGTCTGCTTACCGAATGTTTGTATTAGCGTATTCTTCCCGACTCAAAAGGTGAATTTGAGGACCATTCCAAAATGACTGTGTAAACTAAATCGGAAAATCTGGAGACTAATTACTTTCTTCATATGAAACCGGTGATTACTTCAGGAAAAATTTGTTTTGTCAGCGACGTATGTCATTACTACAGAGTAAAAGTGACTGAAAAATCACTGCAGGTCGATTGGCCCAATGTTCGGACTATTAATAACGCTAACATGTCAGGAATCTTCGTTAGTGTAATGCCCGCGTATGTCAAGTTTTTACATAAGAAAAATGCTCTCGGGACTCCAGTGTCTTCGTAGGAGTTAGTTTGGAGAAATGGGGAATGATACGGTAGCGATTAAGGTACCTAAATCATTTTCCAACGGAAATGAATGTGAATTTTGTTAGAAATAGGATAACCATCAGAGCAAAGCACGAACTACAGCTTTAATGTTCGAGATTATTTAAATAATTCTAGATTCATCCATCTAAGGTCAGATGAGTACCAAGCCAATTCAGAGCGCCCCGTGTAGCGCACAGTAATCAGCAGATATGATACTGGTAATAAATATTAATTGCTTCTATCTATACACGTAATATGTATTTTAACGGCCGTAGATTTAAACATAAGTTAGGATCCTTTCGTAAAGGCACTTCTGATTTTCCAGATAAAAACAAGATACGAAACTTCTGCCTCTACCACGTATCAATTGGTCGGCTTCTTTCTGAGATAGGGCCATACACAGGTTCGTATAGTACCTTACAAGTCAGCATGTTCTACCTAACTGGACTTTCGAATGACAGTTCTGAACAAACCATCATTTTTACATTTTATGGCAATTTTCACTGAAGAACGAATATATTTCAATAAGCCTCATTTGTCTAAGCTTCTGGTGAAGCTAACACTTACCTCCTTCATTCTTATTCCTTGCTCTTCTAAGGTCCAGCTGTGCAGAAATAAAATCACTTTGTTTGACTAATACTACATTTTCATAACAACTATCCTAGTCTTGAATAGCGTTATTAGAAGACGCAGATTATCTGAAAAGTGTGATGTATTTGCGCTGTGTACATTGCGAACAATCTGATAACATTTTTATTTGTCAAGCCAATTTATATGGAAAATAAGGGCAAATTAAAATACGCAAAGCGACAAAATGAATTTCAGAATAATAGGAAAAATAAACGCTACGTTTGCTTATTCAGTCATGTAAGGATTACTAGGGTAGGTTAGGAGCAATAATATATTGTTTTTGTACATATCCAGACGGGCCTCCGTTTACTAATAGCTATCGCCTCCGAGTTTTTCAGTAAACGCCCACGATCGTTTTTGAAAATAACCTTGAAAGCTGATTCGACGTTAATCTTGTGGTTCATATCGATTAGATGTTAAACTACAGACGAGGTTAGTAGCCTACCATATGCGTCTTTCATTTTTCAAAAGATCATTTGTTTTTCTAATCACCCGGAATATGCTCTCCCACGCTCAGATGCGAAGCGCGATTACTCTTCCCCACGTATGTGTGACGGCACACACTTAAACTGGCATAAAGTGTGAGATGTGACATAACCAGTAGTGAACTTTTGGGATTTGCAGTTGGGCATAATTCTGGTTCCGGAAGAACTCCCAATCAAGAGTGGATGTGGTATTCACTTGAATAATGGTCCGTTATCGGTTGAGAAAGATTAACCGCAGAAAACGAAATGACACTGAAAATCACCCCACAGCCATTTGGATGAATTTGTCACTTAACATAAAGGCGGCAGTATTCTGATAACTTATGAAATAACAATTTAAGGCATCGAAAAAATAAAAGAAGTTACCAACGCTTTACAGTGTGAAATTGTATGAGTTTGATGATGCTTATGTAAAATGGCGCACAATTCATGAAAATCAATTTATTTGTGTGAAAATACACTACTATTACCTAGTGTTATAGCATGGTGCATCGTAAGAATACCACAAAGTTCAAGACGGAAAACAATCAGTGAAACAAAAGCAGAATTCATCACCCATAATGCGTTTACAAACGTCGCATAACAGAATAATTAGATTTACGTACATTTTTTATTACTCTATTATAACGCGACCCCAATACTGATTCGTTATTTGTCACTGAAAGTCGTATCCTCTCCACTTATAACAATGGGCCTACTGCATATAACCATTAGTTTGGCCATTGAAATTGATTGTCCTCAATCTGTCGGGATTCGGGTCAAACGTTTTGAGGAATCCAAATACTTTCGCGATTAACTAAAAAATATCGTCTGACTGAACTAACAAAATAAATAACACTTTAGGTCGTTGGGCGCCTCGTACGTAAAGATGATTTTCAAGGTTAGCCTAAGCTATTATTTGTGATATTGGTTGTATGTTCCTGTGAGTTCAGGTGGTTAAGAGCGGTCAGTCTTTCATCTTTTCCCGATGAACCTAAACTTTATCATTCATCTGGAGTTACAGTTGGTGTAACTAAATAAAGTCATATAATTTGATTTAGTTGCAGAAAGCACCCAAGCTTACAATAATGCTGAATTAAATCTCAGTAATTCTGAAATAATTTTAGCATCCTATAGTGAGTAAATTTAGATTCTGTTCTGAAATGGATTGCTTAATGGAAAAGACTAGAACTCAGTGCTGGTTTTCAGCATGACTAGAACTAATTCAGCACCGTGTTCTTTTTCTAGGCATTTTTAGAAGTAGATCAGAACATACTGGGTTTGCTTATCAGCGTTGTTCCGGCCCTTACAGGACATTAAGCACTGACTAGTATTACTTCAGAACGAAAAGACTTAATTCAGCACATAATGGCAATTTTTTCAGCTTAATTCAACCCCTCTCAGCACATATTCAGCTCGGACTAGCATTACTTCAGAACGAAAAGACTGCTACTTATTATCATATTTATATATATATATATATATATAACTACAAATAACTAAAAAACGACAAACAGAATGTTGATTGATAGTCGCAAAATTGGTACACGAAGAAAGGTTTCTAACTTACTACTATTCACAGTATTGCAGTAGTTGAGAAAAAGCAAATTTTACACATTCTACTGACGTAACCTATGTAACGGAATCTTGTTCGTCATACAAGTACTTGCAGTCGAATATAAATGCATACAAATACGGTTTTTAATTTTCATTCATTTTTATCCAACATATACCAATATTTTTTGCTGTGTCAAATAGAACTAGTTCGGATAATCTAGCGGAATAATAATTGTCACTAAAATGAAAAATTGTTTGCAGCTGGACTTAAAAACCTTGATTCAAATCCGACTTTAAATCAGGTTTCTGGTTTGACCTCAATCATTCCTCCAAAACACACAAGCTTTTTATATAGGATTCATATCGAATTGATTTTGCCAACCTTTAACATATTCTCCTTTGTGGACAATTGTCATTAGTATGACATCATTTCATTCACTATTTGAACAAAACCCTTGGAGGCTTTTTTTCGATGAATGGATGAAACGTCAAGAAGTTCTGCATTTCATTATGATTTCAAAAGTTTATCCCCACTACCTATAACCTACAATATGTTGAACTTACTTCTTTCTTTCGAGATAAATCTCGATCCTAATGTTTGCAAAATTACCGACTGGCTATTCCGTAGTAATACCTGTAACTCTTGTATGGGTTTGATTAGTCTTCAATTTTTATATTTCACCCTTCTTTTTTGAGTGAAATCTTATGCAAAATAAACTGGTTGGGTGAAACCTATTAAGAATCTAGCTGAGATTCTTTTTTAACCTACACACTAGGTTGCATTATTTGCAACAAATTCCTTCTACTCATGTGAACTCATTATTGTTTCAATTTTTAAAGTGCTTAATTATCACCAAATATCGAATGTGTTTATGTGGTTAAATTACTGTTCTCTGTATTATTATTATTGTTATTATAGGTGCTTAGTAATGTTGGGCACTACTTCAAATGTTCGAACCTCAGACTTGGATGTAGACCTCTGTGTAGTAGTCAAAAATTGGTGTTTGATTCATCTGCAAAGAAAAAGCAGCGTATACGGTCGACATTCGTTGAAGATCCTCATATTTATGACTACATACGTGAAGAGGTTGCTAATCGCCTAGCTGATCGACTGATTGACATATCAAGGTGCCCATTAAATGTGTGTTGTAATGTTAGTCTTATTCTCGAAATACTTTTGGTTTAGTTTTTGATTATATTATTTCCTACGGTATTTATGTGTTTCACAAATCTTTGTCAACATAGCCTTAGTTCCGGAGAACAGTGGTACAAAAATACTTTTGAGGTGTTAAACTCAGTTTTGAGGAGTGTCGACGTGGTCGATGCCATTCGTACATAATTTACAAATTGTTCACCAATTTTTCAACTTGTTGATCTGTTTAAGTCGCTCTATCAAATGAACGTTTTTTATTTAATCGGTGGATGGTGACTAGCAGTGGAATCCAGAATGCGCATCCAGATGACAAGTCCCAAATAGGCCGAAATGCGCATCCTGGATTTCACTGCTGGTCACGATCCACCAATTCAATTCTAATTACATGCCCAGACATCGTCGAAGCATGTCAACCTGAGACCGAGCATTTTGGTTCAATCAATTGACGGGAAAATCTAAAATTCAATGAACGCTTTGTATGTTTTGAACATCCAGTTAGTGAAACATGTGGACCAATGTATGGAGTTTATGCCTCAGTAGCATATGTCGGAAAACTCACCAGTATGTAGTCACGACGATCAATATTCAGTACTGTTGTTGCTTGTTGAGCATACTTCTGAGTAGTATCTCTCAAAATGTTCGAAAGTAACAATTTCTAAAATTAATTCAAAACTGCTTTTCCGAGTTTGTTCACGGATTGATATCAGTTAGAGAACTATTGAAAACCAGGGAGTACTGAAAATCTGTTTCTTTCTGGTTTGGGAATCATCATCAGTACGCACCCACTGGGGTTCAAACCCAAGACCTTCCGGTTACAGTGGTTCTCTGACTGATATCAATCCGTGGTCAAACTCGTAAAAGCAAATCTAATCCTCACAAACCAACTCTTGAAAATCAGTTCAGAATTATTATTATTAAGTAGTACATAATTTAATCTCCCTTTATTTCTGATGAGGTTCGTTCATAGTAAAGAGACGTGTATTTATAATCCATTCTTTAAGTACAGCATATTTCTTAGTTAATATTCCTAATAGGCAAGCTGTCTGTTGCTTATCTATTCGTTCTGCTTTCTTTTCTGCTTCCTCAGCATCTTTTAGTCCCATACGACTTTTCAAGATTAAGAGGTAAAATAAGTTGGTTGAAAGTATTTACCTTCATTAAGTGAATAATCTAGTATTGCTGTTATCTAACAGTCGACGTTTTTATTTTGAGATATTCAGTCTCTGCAAAACCCTATAAAGCGATAGTTAATCAAAACAGCCAATATAATTCTTTTAGAAACAGCATCTACAAAAAATACATTTGTGAACACGTGTGTTGTAAGCTGCATTATATAAACTTCTATCAACTACTTTTACCTGATACAAATGCGAATTTCCAAATAAAATGATTCTTTTATTGATCAGTTTCTTAAATGCCTCTTGAATAGATAGTAATCTGGTAATTACCAGTGGTTGTGATAAATTTCAGGGGATTGGAAACTACAACAATACAGTTTAAGTAAATAAGTATTTCCGATTAATATATGTGTAGAAATTTGCCACTGTAACAGTATGTAATTTGTTTATTGGATATATCGCAGAGCGGAAAAGTACTATTTACGGGATGATGCTTCAAACACAATATATTGTTCATAATCATATCAGTTATAAGCATAAAACTTCGAAACTTAAGTTTTATGGTTTTCCTTATTCCTCCCCACTTGTCGTAGGAGTAGTAGAATTTTTCAGATGTCTAGGAGAAGTGTTGAATCATTCGCATAGCACATGTTTTCAGTTGATTCAACAAGCAAAGCTTCCGTTATCAGTCGATATTTTCCCATCAGATTTTAAGTTTGCTTATTAAAATTATTCAGCGTAGACGTTTTATACCAGTTTGGATGTTTACATTATCTTCCAGGGTTCTCTTCATGTTATTGATTCAGTCAAATCTGTCTAGTAACATGACTTTAATTCCTTTATCAAGTCTCACTTTGAGAATGTTTTGGTTGGAACTGATGTTATATGAGGCTTCACATTGAGCTATGCTAAAGATACTTAATTATCACATTTCGATTGGTATTGATGGCAGTTCTTGTTGAGAGGCATTTACTTGTAAAGTAAATGATACAACTAAATCAAACTGGATAGATTATCTTTGTTACCATCATCATACAAACTTGCAATTGCATATTTTAGTTTTAGTTTCACAGTATATTATAAACTTAAATACTTCATTATATGATTGCTTTAAGACAATAGTTGATTATCTGCAAGGCGATAATAAAAACCAGCTGTTTTGATTTCCGTTATGTATCGCCATCTGATAGTATGTGTTGACGCAGATCATCCACAAAACGCCATAGCCTTACTTATCATATAACTGAATTTCAAAAATGCCATAGCTAACAAATACCGAAAGTTGTGATTAAATCTCTTCTTTTTAAAGATACTTATCAGTTTGTTTACTGATTCAACAGGCAATTCGACGTGGCTTTAGATATCGGTTGTGGTCGAGGTCATTTATCTCAGTTTATTACCTCGGACAATGTTGGTGTACTCTACCAATTAGATAGTTCATCTGAGATCCTGGTATGTCTAACTTTTTTTCAAGTTGATTTGAAGCCATTATTTATAAAGATATATGTCAAATGAAGCTTCTATTTCGCTAGTTAAAGGTAATATATGATGCATTGGTTAAATGTTAATTCAGTTTCTAATGCTAATAGTCTTATTTAAGGTAATAATAAGTCGGAATTTAAGAAATTTCAACTTTTATGGGGATAATTCAACCAAAGTTCTGTGATAAGTTGATCTACATTGTTATGCGTATCAAAAAGATTACGGAAATGTGCAAATTATTTGGTTTAATAAGTGTATAAATCATAAAAGTAGCGTTTTTTCATATAACGAAGATCCTTATCAGATATTTGTTGATAGTATTAGTTTATGAAAGGAAAGTGTTAAATCCAAGTCGAATTCTGTTTTATGTCTTCATTTCTGTTAAAACAATGTGGATTATATCTTATATGAAGTGATTTTGTTCTGAAACGTTCGACGTGATTTTCGAAAACCCCAAAAAGCGTTCTATCTCACTTGTTATGTCGTATAATATAATGAGTAATATTGAGGTTAGGTGCATAGTGCTAAGTAATCAGGGCAAGTCAATCAATGAGGTTGTGAAGGTGTATCGATGCAGATGGCTAGAACACGCCTTAAGCATGACGAGCGATTGCCTTTCTTGTTGAACAACGTTAGGTGACATAGGATCAGGTAGCAAAAGAGTCAGGACTGGTCAAATCAAAATATGGCATCAATCCATGAAGTCTTCAGGTGTTGGTTTAAGCTACATAGGGAGATACAGTTTGTTTAGTTGTGGTCCCGCAGATAGTAACAACCAGTAGCTTGAGACTGTTGGTGACATGGCTTAAAATCTTTCTTAATGACCCAGGTGCGTTCACTGTTTTAATCTCCCAGATCTATTAAGTCTTCATGCTTCTTCATGTAATTATTGTTTATCCCATACATTTTTGATTATTATAGTTCTTTTTGAGTCTCTTTTCTTCCTCTTTTTGTATACCTTTGTGTGCTACATAGATTGTGGCATTTTTTCTACTGCTGCACCTCTGTGCAAAGTTCTTAGTTGGAACTCAGTCACTCACCTTAAGAGTTCTTTTAATTTAACCATTATATGCAATAAATTCATTAATTCACGAACTTATTATTTCATTTCTCTTTGATTAGGGTTAATAATATCGTAAAACCGTAATATAACACAAAAATACTACATTTGTGTTATTTCCACTGGTTTTTAAATTTGTTTTTATTCTTCAATTTCTTTCAGAAACAGGTATTACCACCCGCAGATGTTCCCACATATAGTATTCATTGTCCTGAAAGTGTCCTACCCTTCCGACCGAACACTTTGGATTTGGTTCTAAGCTGTATGAGGTAATTCCCCCCTGCCCATTATTTCATTTCTCTGTGGGAATTGGAGGTTGGGGAAAAGAAAGAGAAGGAAGACCATGGTTTCTTTGCTGCTGTACAAACAACCATTTAACATATACGATTTCAAAATATTTATCTTGTGATGTTACTCAACCTTTTTTTATCCTGTCTTTGTCACATATGATAGATTTTTTTAAAAACATTGGTTTCTTTGACATGAACTTACAGGTGTAACAAGCATTTTTTATTCTCCTTTTAACGTAGTATCTTCGAACTCGAACTTACCTTTCAAATCGTGTTTTACTGTCACCTTTTTAAAAAATCTGGTTCCACAGTTTCCCCTAGCCATCTAGCCACGGAGCAGTAAAATGATCCGTGTGGGTTCAACTCCAAATGCTTTTGTAAAACTTTGGAAAAATTACAAAGATGATGAAATGCCCATCTATAGAAACCTGGATTCTTCTGTATATATCAATAATAAATGATGTATATAGAAGTATACATTAAAGTTTATCTCGACTAACATATAACCACTTGCTTCGAGTGCTCTTATTGTTGAATGTTTATTGGTGTCGACTGACAGAAAACTGTACTTGGTAGCCTTCCTCGCTAAAGAAAATATTTGAAGCTGTGAATAGATTCATATTTTCTGTTGAAGTCGAAGGCTACACTGACAACCAGCAGTACCGTGGAACAATCATGTTACAGATGTCGTTGGTCGGCGTTACTCTCCTATCTAATTCCCTTTCAGTATCTTCTCATTTTCATTCCATCCAATTTAACATATCACTCTAACGTTTAAATGTACTGTTAAGGCTTAAATATTCTTGGGTTTTAAGTTTGACAGTATAATTTAGTCTGAAATATGACATTTAATTGTACTCTAACTCTTTATCTTCGCAAACGCAGCACACATTCGTAACTTTTGTCAGACTGTATGTTAATTCCAAAATAGTCTTCTTATCAAAACTATGAAATCAATTGAAGAATCACTAAGAACTAAGAAGTAGTGGAGGGTTGTTTCGTCATCACCTGCAATAACAATAGTTTTTTCAGTGTTGCATATGTATCCATTATAATAAAAACTGTTTCTTTTTTCAAATCAATTAAGACTTTATTAACCCTTGTCTAATTTCAAATTTTATTCTCTAACATTTAATCTTTTCTTTTTTTCTTACAAAAGCCTCCATTGGATAAATGATCTTCCTGGTTTATTAAAACAAGTAAGTTCATTTTTTTTATCCATGATTAAATCTGATTCTTTCTATATTTTTATTATCATACTCCCAGTTTTGGTCATGGATTGATATCATTTAGAGAACCATTAAAAACCAGAGAGTATTGAACATTTGTTTCGTTTTAGTTTAGGACTCATTGGCAGTGCGCATCCACCGGGTTTTAACAGCAGGACCTTCCGGTTGCAAAGCAAGCTCGTGCTAAAATCACGAATTGGCAAAAGTTAGAATTCAAGAGCCATTGAGTTGGGTCCCATTGGCTGAGTAGTATACGAGCTTGTCTTGTAACCTGAAGGTCATAGGTTCAAAAGCTGGTGGGTGTGTGCTGCTGATGACTCCAAAACTAGAACGAAACGACTATCCAGTACTCATTGGTTTTCACTAGTTGTCTAACTTTTATCAATCTTTGATCAAAATTTGGAACAAATCGAATCCTTACAAACAAACTCTTGGATATTATATTCTTATTTATTGTTTGCTTGTGAGAATACATGTGAACTGGAAGATGTGCTAGGGAGGCAGTGAAGACAGGATATGACGCGAACAAAGCGAATGCAAAAGTGATAAAGATACCCATCGATGGGAGAATTCTGAAGGAATTTGTCTCTTTCACTTCCATGAGCTAGACAGCATTGTTTTAAGTACAGGCAGTATGGGTGAAGATGTTAAAGGAAGCCAGAGTATGGAAAGCAAGACAAGCGTCCATTACTCCGAAATCTGTGTGAATATTCACAAGGAACATGATCTAAAATGTTTAACACTAATGTCAAGTTAGTGCTTGCACATAGTTCAGTGACTTTATGTGTCATCAGTATCATTTCCAACAGATTAAAGTCTTTCATTAACACCCATCTTCGCTCGATACGAAAGATCAGAAAGCCAGCCAGAAAGGGTATGCAACAGTGAACTCTGGTGGCGAACCAACCAAAAAACTATTGATTTATCAACACGTATGCAGAATGAAATGGAGGTAGATTGACCGTGTACTGAGATATTCAAATGACATCACACGCCATACACTCGAGTGGAATCTGAATCGGAAGCGACAAATTGGGTGTCTAAGGATGACTTAGAGAAAATCATGTGATGAGGAAATTAAAAATTGATGGCAGTCCTGGAGCCAGTTGAAAGGGATAGCAGACAACCAAGTGCAATCTATATGTACCCATGGAGCCCTATGTTCCACTGGGAACGCAGTAAATAAATAATAACTATATACAAATAACTGAGTTGGTGGCATAGCGGTTAGGACGCTCGCCGACCATGCACATGGTCCGGGGTTCGATCCCCGGCCGGCGCACTCCTTTACCTCGCCAAGCCAGAACTAAAAGCTGGTGAAGAGGAAAGGTTGGGCATGAGGCTAGCAACCCCATCCTGTAAAAATAAACACTGCTACAGAAACTTCAAGCCTTTAGCTTGAAGCCCTATGTTACATTGGGAACGCGAAGGAATTAATAACAAATAACTCGTTTTGTGAGAAGAAGACAGGGAACCTTTATATCATTATGCTTAATTCGTTTGTTTGACAGTATATTAATGTGTTAATAGTTTAAAATATTTATCCTTAATGCAGTTCACACCTTTCTTAACACTATATTACTCTGTGTTATATCAAGTTAACTTATCTAATATCGAATTATATCCTACCACTGTGACCAAGATTCTGTTCTTCAACTGTATTTTTTTTCTTACCCGTTTTTGCAAAATTCCAAAAATTATAGGTACTGACATGTTTACGCAATGATGGATGCTTTCTAGGTGTAATGCCAGCAACTGACACATTGTATGAACTGCGTGTATCTTTACAACTAGCTGAATTAGAAAGATTAGGCGGTATCTCATCACATATTAGCCCATTTGTTGACAGTGTGGACATGGCTGATCTACTACAATCTTCTGGATTCAATTTAATAACATTAGTAAGTTCGTTATATATATATATATATATATATATATATATATAACTTGCAAGTCTATGCATACATATATGTATGATTTATAAGTCAGTTGGTTATATTTTTGTCTGATTGTTGTCAGCCTTTGTGTTTGGCTTGTGTAAGTCACCAACGGTTTACATTGTACAACCCTGAAAATCTTGATAAACATTTGCTATTCTGATGTAGTGATGATTTTAAATAAGTACCACAAACAATGTATGGTCTGTGGTTTATAAATGAATTTTGATTGGAAAGTGACATTGCACAGTGCAAGTTGAGATAACTCTCTCCAACATAAGAATGTGAGCATGAAGTTAAACTGTTAGCTGAAGAAGATTTTAAAGGCAATACCTTACTTTTCGCAGACAACCAACTTCCTGGATTTCATGTGTAAATTGTTCCTTCTGCTCTGAAAATTACGAGTAATAAGTAGCTATTTTCAATCTACTTTACTATGTTAACATAAAGATAAAACTTAACAGGCATAGGTGATTCCTTAGTGTGACAATTCAATTAGGCTTCCTACATGGTAAGAATGACAGTGGGTATCGGATCAATAGACCATTAGTGTACAAAATTATCATGTAGCTGTCATAAGACTAGAACAATAAATGTTTCTTCTTAATTTACAAAACTCTAGTTAAGTTATTTTTTCAGCTGTCTAAAAATAGCTTCCTATTTGGTTACAGGATTTCATCATGAGCTGACATCAGTTAGAGAACCACTGGAAAACCTGGGAGTACTGGACAGCTGTTTCGTCCCAGTTTGGGACTCTTCAGCAGTACGCACCTACCGGGGTTCTTATTTGTTATTTCGGGATAACGTTTGAAGTAGGGATAGACCAAGGCTCTCAAATCTTGCTTTAACCAGCTTAACGTATGTCGACCAGTATGGATTTTGAAGTGTCTAACTAAAAATCGTCAAAATCCGGACGTTTCTTACATTTTAGATGTATCTCGATTGGTTATCATCTTATCAAGACTCGTCTAAGGTAACTACTGGTTTAAAGAACGGTCTCAGGGATTGACTTGCTACCAGGGAATAATCTCGTTGACTTAGAATATGCGGACGATATAGTCCTTCTAGGCGAGGACTCTGACAAAATGCAGAGTCTACTGAACACCCTGAGCAACAATCTTCGTATGTTTGGCATGCGATTCGCCCCTGTAAAATGTAAGATGATGCTGCAGGATTGGACCTCACCGACCCCTAGATTAGAAATAGGAAGTGAAGTGGTAGAACACGTTGACCGCTTCAATTACTTGGGAAGTACCATCAGCCCCAACGGGTTGATCTCAGACGAAATTTCAGGACGAATACAGAGGGCTAGGTTCGCATTCGCCAGTTTTCGCCGTCTCTGGCGTAGACGCGATATCCGACTATCCACCAAAGGGCGTGTGTACTGCTCAACAGTCCGCTCCGTCCTCCTTTATGGCTGTGAGACCTGGCCATTGAGAGCAGAAGACATGAAAAGATTAGCTGTCTTCGATCATGGGTGTCTGCGTTCTCTCTCCCGTGTGAAGTGGTATAATAAGGTGAGCAATATTGAGGTTAGGCGTCGAGTGCTAGGTAAGGCGGGGAAATCAATCGACGAAACGGTGAAATTACTTCGACTGAGATGGTTAGGACATGTGCTACGTATGCCTAGTCATCGCCTTCCTCGACGGGCAATCTTAGCTGATATAGGGCCAGGCTGGAAAAGAGCTAGCGGCGGTCAAACGAAAACATGGCACCAATCAATGAAATCTACAACAGTTAATCTAAGCCACGTAGGAAGATGTAGACTTCCTGGTTAGGGTCCTCGGGACGGTAAAAACCAATGGTTGGAAACAATTGGTGACATGGCTCAAAATCGTTCTCAGTGGCGCAGATGCATCCACTCCTTGTGACTTATGATTTCCAATTAAACTGTTTTGTTCTCCGTTATCACTATTCCTTTGTCTCACACCTCTGTTTACTGTTTCCATTATGCATTTCTTCTACTTCCTTCTCTTGCTTTGCGTGCTACATAGATTGTGGCGACTTGAACTGCCGCACATCAGTGCAAAGTTCTATGTCGAAAACCGACCGACCGACCGACCGACCGAAAGAACGGTCATCTCGTTAAATTCCCAAAGAAAGACAACTTAAGACTTTGGAAAAACTAGCGCGGAATCATACTCCTGTTCACCCCTCAAGCTTAACTCAAAAGGATATTAAGTTTAATTCGATAAGAATTATATCAATAAGCAAAAGGATTGGAAATACACTGAGAATTTATTTCGCATGCCAGGCCCTCAACTGGAACCCTACAGGGAAGCAATAAGTTGGGCATCCATCTGTAAGTGAATGAAGGAGGTCGTGTGAGGAGAAAGCGAAAGCTTGTGGGCAAATCGTGTAGTCAGCTAAAAAAAAACACTACAGAGAACAGAATGAAATGGAGATGTGCTGCTGAAGCCCAATGTTCCACTCGGGATCCAAGACAATAATAATATTTGAATATGTTTTGAGGAGCAGTTAGTTCCACAGAGTCTGTTTATTTTCAGTAGTGATGAAAAGCGTTCAGTATACTTCAGAAAATACACACTATGCAACATAATGCTCAAAATGTTTCTAAAAGTTACGCTTTTGTTTTACCCTATTGTGTATCACAGTAAATTGCTATGAATGTTGAAATAAATACACGCAGATCTACGAACATTTAGTTGTTTAATTTGTGTGTCTTTTTTCTCTTTATAGGATGTTAACGAGCTGGTAATTCATTATCCTAATATGTTTGCACTTATGAATGATTTACGGTGTATGGGTGAATCAAATGCAGTTGTACATAGACCGTTACGCTTGAATCATGACGTTCTTCTTGCTGCCTCAGCAATATATGATGGTAATGATATTTCGATTTCTTAGCTTATTCTCCTGTATTTTAAAAAAGTTGTTAATGTTTAAAACTATTCATTAGTGTATACATTTACGAAATCAAACTTAGAGCATTCTGGTTGGCATAGAAAAGCATTAATTTTTCTGAAAGAAAAACTAAGTTGATTATTTATCTCTAACATTTATGCACATAATTAATTCGGTAGATGAGATATTTTCTATTATTTCGGTTAGAGGATCTTTGGAAAACTTGGGAGTACTCTACAGCAGTTTCGCCCTAATTTGGGCACTCACTGAGTTTCGAATCCATGACCTTCCGGTTACAAGGCGAGCTCATCAACCATTAAGCCATTGCCACCCGATCCATTAGGTTCTGAGTAAAACGGAGAGCTTCGGCAGCACATCTACCTTCCACTCTGTTCTTGACAGTCTTTTTTAGCTGACTGCATGATTGCTAGAAGGCTTTCAATTCCTCATCACACAATCTCCTCCATGTCACCCTCGAACCAACACCCAACTCGTTATTTCTCATTCAGGTTCTGGTTGTAGGCCCGGCGCATGATATCACTGAATACACTCCATAGAATATATCCAACTCATCTGCATTTCATGTTACGCATATTTGTTGGGCTAGACATATAGGTTCTTGGTTGGTTCGTTTCCAGAGTTCCTCGAAATACTAAGATCCAAAATGACTGGAGACTATTGACGATATCGTTATCAGTAGCGCAGATGCATTCACTCTTTTTGGTTATCCATACCCACTGAACCGTTATATTTTTCCGTGTTAGTGTTTTTTTCTTTCTGACATTTTTGAATCTTTTCTCTCTGTTTTGTCTATCTTTATATATTACATGGAGTGTGGCAACTTGCACTGCTGCACTTCTGTGCTAAGTTCTATGCTGGAACTCAATCGTTTAGGGTTCCTTTTTGATAATCCTTTCTAGCCATCTTATCCTTAGTATGGAGCGAAGGTGGTAGGTGTTGGCAGGAGCCTTTAACCTGTTAGGAATGTTTGCCTTGACCCACCAAGTCTCTAAAACACATAGAAGCACTGACTTGATGTGTGAGATGAATAGAACACTTGAATTTCTTACGTTTGATCATGAATATAGTCGTGTGATTTTTGAGAATGTAATGGTCTCATGAGCTTGTAAAATGATTTATTTAATACTCGCTAGTATCCCATGGTTCTTCAGATGAATTCAAATAGTTAGAGTTACCTTCTAGGATTTGGTATAGTCCGTTTTGTTTTTTGCATTTTAATACGTCTTTAATGAAGGTCATCGAATACACTTCCAGATCACAATTTTAGATTATTCTTTTCAATTATAGAAAAATTTGGTGTTCCTCGTATTGGTGGAGAAGAGAATGAACGTTGTATCCCGGCGACTTATAGACTTTTATTCTTTATTGGCTGGAAACCTGATCCTTCTCAAGTAAGCAATAATGTACTTTACAGTTGTTTCTCTCTTAAATTACCGTTTTTATGTCTTTTCTGTTACTTCTCTTATCTTATTTAAGCAAACAGTTGAAAATATTATTAACTAGTAAACTATTTACGCGTGTTACTTATCATCAATACTCACAGTATAAAAACTAATTTAATTCCGACTAGTGACTGACTACAGAATGAGGCCGCCTAGAGTTCTAGTATGAAGTCGTGACCAGGGGGGCCCATCAAGTCAGATGTGATGATAAATACTCATCGTTGACATTGGTTGTCAGTTGCGCTATATACCTCAATTTGACAGAAGTTAGCATTCATGCACCATTGGATTCTGCCCCAGTGGATGGATGCTCAATAGGGTCACCTCGTAACCTATAGCTTCTGTATTCGATCCCAGGTGGAGTCATGGTTGTATACCGTTGAAATGCCCTAGACGAAACACCTGTGGAGTAATCTTTGATGGTTCTCAGTGGTCCTGCAACTGAATGCAGCTTACAAACCAAATTGAAACCACTCAAATACCTGCAAACCGACGCTTGAAGACAGTATAAGTAGTTGAATGGGACAGTGTTACTACCTTCTATTTACACTTTTAAGACTTTTAAACATAGAACACACTTCTTTTAAATGCGTCAGTGGCACGGCAGTTAGGACGTTCTCCGACCATGCATATGGTCCAGGGTTCGATCCCCGCCCGACGCACACCTGATATCAATGGTCGACCTGCTAAATTTGGGCTACCGATATCACATGCTACAAAGTCCATAGTAGTACCAAAGTACTGTGTAGAATCAAACTATAATAATATAAACAATACTTGACTTTACCTATGTCTTCTTTCTACATGTTTAATCTGTCTTCGTATACTCACCAGCATATTGTACTGCGTATATTGCTTTCTTAGTAATTTTCTATAGTTTGGTTTGTAAGGGTTAGTTATGTTATTACTAGTTGATCACGGATTGATATCAGTTAGAGGACCGTTGAAAACCTGGGAGTACTGGACAGTTGTTTCATCCTAGTTTGGGAATCATCGGTAGTACGCACCCACTGGGATTCCAACCCAGGACCTTCCGGTCGCATGGCAAGCTGATATACCATTCAGCCACTGAGACCCAATTCGATGGCTCATGAATTCTAACTTCTACCAATTCGTGATTTAGCGCAACCCCAACCAATGTCGTCGGTGGGACATCCATCCTCACACGTGACATCTGGATGAACCTCACTAGTAAGCCTTTAGGATTCACAATTAACTTGAGTTATTGTATCACAACCAATTCATGTGTTCGTATGAATTTTTTTCCCCGAGAAATTCAATTTATTACATAAAATCATCTCAACCTTTAAACAACTGGAAAGCATTTTCAACATAAATTAGGGGATATAAATGACACTTCAAGTATTATTTCACTTCTGTCAGGTGTAACTCGCATATACTCATCGTCCTTTCTTTTGTTTTCTTCCTTTTTGTAGAGTAAACCACTTCCTCGGGGAAGTGCACAATATTCTTTAAAAGATCTTCACCGGATTGATGAACTAGCTAAATTACACATAAAAAAGTGAACAACTTCTTCATTCTTTAAACTGCCGATTGTAATATAATAATTTGATAAATATGTAAATACAAATATGTACATACTGTTTTGCATCTTATGCATTGTTCATTTCTTTACTTTGATGAAAATATACTACTAACTACTAATCAGAACTACTTTATATAATTTGAATGGATACAGTGTTCGCATTTAGTTTAGTCTAAAAGGGGACTTGTCATTCTTAGGAAAATACTAAAATCCTTCTATTTAACTTTTATTATTTTAATAATATATATTTGTTATTAATTGCATTTAATGCTGATTCCTAGAATAAGCAGTAATTTTTGGATTTGAATCCTTTCACAAACAAATTAGCGGTACTTTCTAGCCTACAGAGAGAGAGAGAGTCAATACACCTGTTCCATTATCTACTATCACTGAGAAAGAGAGTCCTAGATAACTGAATTACAACACTTCCAGGAAGCCAGTTGAATATTATCGAAACCTCTGTGCAAGACTTAAGCAAAAATTTATTGGTTTACTGGATTTGTGGTATTCCTTTTTTCAATCCAATCCTACTTCAGCTTACATCTTCTATCTACGCCAAATGTTAAAGTGAAGTGTAACATTGTTAACGATTTAGAAATCTAAATATATACGAAAATGTATTTAGTCTGCTTTTTTAAAGGTAACTGTGCTAGTACTTTTCACATAATAGAAAAGATATGTAGTTCAAATGGAAAATTTGTCGTGGTTGTGTTGTCTGAGATAGGTGGTTTAATTGCGAAGCTTTCATTCTCCTTCTAGATAATATCTGCAGCACAAACTTCAGTATGAAATGTACTTCTTTGGATTCTCCATGAACGATATACTTGTGTCTCCTGATAATCTCTTTTGCGATTGACTGTCTATTGACTTGGAATTTGATTAAGGCTGTCAGGAGATACAATTATATCATTCATGGAGAATTCAAAAAAGTTCAATTTATAGTGAAGTTTGCACTGAAGATGTTGTCTAGGAATATAACGCAAGCTTCACAATTAAACCGACCAGCTTAAATTAATCAACCACATCAAAATCCTTTTCATATACTTTGGCTTTTGGGATGACATGTAAACTTGATTATTAGTAAGGTAAACCGAAGGCACACATCATAAAATCGGCTTTAAATTACACTCCATCTGAATCTATTCAATGGGTTAAGAAGTACTATGCACATTTGTTTGCTTTTCCTAGTCCTCCTTTGAGTGTGAGACCAAAACTTTGCATATAGAGATGTTAAAGTAGTGTTCGACGACAATTCTGGTAGATTTCCTACTTCAGTATTAGTTATATGATTGCCCTTGTACCACTGATACAGTAACAAGAAGCTATTTCATTGATTCACTTTTGCAGTCAAGCTAAAACTGTCTCTCTTTAGAAAATAGGCTAACTTTAAAGTCTTCATTGATTCTAAACGCCATTTTGTGTTCTCATCATTATTTTTTGTTTTAATTTCTTGTAAGTATTGAACATTTATTACAACACTGTATATCTTTTGACATTCACAAATTAGGTACAACATTTAAAGTAGGTTATTTATACAACAATTTTATTTTCTTTAGCCCATTTTTTCATAACACGTATAAAATATTCTGTTTGTGGATTGTTTGTATTCCTTAGTATTTGTATAACTTCACGAAGTCTTTCTTTAGGTTCTTGTCCATCTATAATAAGTTGAAAAACACCAACACATGCTCCACGTTTCCCTTCCCAATATTCTGGATTTTGATCCAGTCTTTCTAATACATCAAAAGCTTTAGCAGCATAGTAGAATTGTGCCATTTTGTAACAATCATTAGCAATTAACTGTAATAGACTGAAGGATTCTGCTGAAGTTTCCATTTTTAAATAAAGTTCCCAAGCTAAACGTGCTTGTTTTGTCATTATATAACATCTGGCTAACCAACTTAAATAGGCATATTCTGAACGTAAACGTTCTGATTGTATTAGTAAAAATACTTCCTGTGCTTCTTTATATGCTCCTACAGCTGCTTTCGCTTGAGCATAATTGAAATTAAATATATCATCATTATAAAAGTAACTCTTTATTGAGTTTAAGTAAATAAGAACATCATCGAATTGACGAAGAAGAAAGAAACAGGAAGACATGCATTGACGTCCGGATATTGTATCACATTCACTTGCTGATCCTCCTACTAATTGAAAGTATTGTTGAGCCATTTTTAAATGTTCACGAGAACCATGTTCTTGACCGAGAATAGCATTTACAACTCCTTTTAATACATATTCTTGTGGTGTACTTGGATCGATTTCTTTAGTAAGTTCATAGGCTTCTTGTAAATTTTCATTTTTTAAATGAAATATTATGAGATTAAGTCTTGCTTCTGGTAGAACATCGATCAACGGAGGTAAAACCTGAAGAGGGGAAAAGTATAAATCAGTGAATTTGACATACCAATAAAGGCATTATAGATACCATGTAGGATAATAATAAACACATCTCAGTTATTCATTTGATCGATTTATTTCATTTTGTGTTTTTCACTTGTACATACACTTATTGATAAATGTCAGCTAAGTGTTATGAGGAGTAACTTTATGTGAAATACGAAATTGGGATGAAATGTGGTTGTAAGTGCTTTCAAGTTGATGATGAATCATCATTCCAAAATATTACAGACATAGCTCACAAGCAACTGCCCGAAGAAAGCCAAGTTTGAATTGGCTTCATCAAGTTGTAAACAAAGGAAAAGGTTGGGAGATATGTCGGTTAACCTTTTATAGCAAAGGTCGGGTTTTAATCATTGAAATGTTCTGCTTGATAGTTTTCTTTCAACATATCTATAGTTTCATCGCAAATACTCACATTTTGTAGATATTTCACAATAAACACCAAATACTACTGACAGTTAGGCACCACATATGTCAACCAGTTGAATTGTTCAAAATACTAAACAACTGTTTCGTTATTTGTGGAATAAGTTGCTTATCCGTATATCTCCAATAATTGAGTGGAGATAACAAAACTTTTAAAATCACCTGAAATCAAATCAGCTGATTGAGGAGGCAGAAAATTCACTACACATATGCAAGATTTTGGAAAGTGCGTAGTCAGAGCTGAAAAATGCTAAACACTTGCTATTTGATAGTTGATTTTCAGCCTAAAATATGCGTCTTGTAAGCATACAAAACACCTTTTTCGAGAACTTAGTGTTGATCTTAGATTTTACGTATTCCTTTCAGACACATGAATATAGACTTTTCTTTAATTTAATACGTCTCAGAACTCATGTTTGATCCTGTATTATAATAGAATATATGATTTTGAGGTACAAGTATTGAGCCCAGAATAGTCCTTACAGCACATTCTCAAGTTGAAGTTATTCTGACAGGTGTAATTTGCTACTAACATGGTACGGTTAGTAAAATAAAAGATTTGAAAATAAATATTGCAATAGATCTGTTAACAGGTACTATCTCTCTATTAAATAAGTTTGTCACACAGGTAAGGCGGTGTTGCATTAAGTATACTAGTTTCGGTAATGTTGTTCTTCTGATTTTGTTATTAATGACGGTAAAGAATTCAATATACTACTGTGCTGGTAGTTATATTCTTAGAGACTGATAAAAAAGTGAATTCCTAAAACGTTGATGTTTCTCAACACAACAGTCGTATGATTTCCTAAAAGAGAAAGATTAGGCGAATTTTCCAGCTCTTCGATTTTTTTCTTCCTATACCTACAGTTGACTAAAACTTTGAAATATGTGAATATTAATCTAAGTGTCTTAGGTGAGTGCTGTTTACGTGATTGGGATTTACAGGATGCTAAGAATCGATGGTCGAGAACTGTTGTTGGTACTGTGCGAAACCTTTCACAGCGACAAATAGTATCGAATATCTACTCTTAAAATTCTGAATACTTTCATTTAATTACTTTTTTAATCAAGCTCATGTCAACCAACTTTAGCATCATTCTGTTCCTGTGCATTTCCCTATAGTTTGCCTTGAAATGTATCATCCTGAATTAATTCACTCACATGAAAAGTTCTATGTTTGTTCACCTGTCAGTCGCTTCATCGAAATATTTATTCATATGAACTACCAGCCTCCTGATGCCTGTCGTGGACAAGAGCTATCTTTGCCTAATCATCGGACAGTCTTTCCAATGCATAGAAATGACTCTGTGAAGATATTATTAGTCTCATACTTAAACACATAATGTTTCCATTCTAATTAACTATAAACTGCCAACATACATATAATTCTGACATCAATGTTCTGATCGTATTACGTTAAGTAAAATAAAGTAAATCCCAATTAACCTTTGGTCCATGTCGTGGGGATTTTAATTCCTGAACTGAAAGAAACAGTCGAATGGATAGGAAGACTAACAAAGAGTGTTACGGGGAATCAAATCAGTTCCATTAGCTCACACCGAAGCTTGACACAAGAAGGTGGTTCGCAGTACTAGAATAATGATAAAGTAAACAAATATAACAATCAGTGAAAATATTTGAGCATGGTAAAGTTGAGTACTTTTTGACCACTATGGTCAACTGTTAGTAAGAGTTCCAGACTTCTGATGAATAATATCTTGACAGTCTCAGTCAGGTGACTTACCTCTAAGTACTTAGACGAACAATCAATGACTTCATGGATTGGCCTCATTTATTACTTTCGGTCATCCTTAGCGCTTTTCCAACGTATTTGTCACTTTGTTAGTTGTATTTATTTGATAAGGTACATAATGATATGTGCTGATGTGGCTTTGAACACATCACTATGGTTTTATTAATATACCCATACAACTTCCAGTATCTAAATTACATAAGTCAGTTAGCCTGTTCTTTAGTTTCACTCCTATGGGAACTTTCCTTCCAATGTACTAATTGCCTTTATATGAGTCAAACGTGTCCTAACTCCCTCAGTTTGTTAAAACTCATAGCTACATCATGGATTTTTCCCATGTGCAACCACATTATTCACTACTTAGTGTCTTCCAAACACTGATGGAGTGCTAAGAAAAAAAGGATTTTTGAATATGGTGGTGTATGTATTTGGTTGTTGTATTCCCAGAAAAGAAATGTCTCTTTAATAGAGCTGTCGTAATTTGTTTGGAGTTTATATTTATCACTGAAATTACAAGGTTAGAATATTGCATCAGAGGTAAGAAGAGAGATTACAATTTCTACCTGTACAAATAATTTGAACCCAGAATCAAAACTCTGTGGCTAGTTCTGTTCTTAAGGAAGCAGAATTAAAACGGTATGCATCTAAGAAAATTTTAGGCAATAATCACTTTAGAGACTACTTAAACTTATAAGTTACATATATCATGTTTGCTGGAAATACCCGAAATTACTATTGGAGTGCCTTTATGTGTATAAAATGCATTTCAGGTATCTAATTGGGTGATAGGAGGTGTTATGCAATGTTTTAGTTAAACATCATTCAAAAACTCTTAATGTGTGAATAATTCCTAGTTTAGTATCCTTGTTGACTCTTCATTACAAAATATTTGGAATAAATGCATAGGGAGAGCTACTTTGGAAATTCGCCATGCATTTGGGAATTATCTTTTTGCAACTCTAAATGTCAGTGAATTAATCACATTTCTGTTCCAGTATTTATTGGAGAACCCCAAAAGGGACTAAAAACTACCGTTTTGAATTCTAGCTGAATTATCCCTGTCAGATACACCAAAGGAAGCTCTAGTAGTCCTTTCTGTCAATAATATTTTAATAATTCAGCCATGTGTCTGTTTTTTATATTTTATTCCTTTGCATTCTGAGCTGAATATAAGGCTTCAAGCTTTGAAGTTTCATTAGCAGTGATGTTATTCCTTTCCATCGGGAAGAATTGCTAGCCTCACATACAACCTTCCTTCTTTACCTGGCTTAATTCTGGCTAAGCGCGATTACAGGATAGCGTTGGTCTAGGATCAACCCTGGACTACGTACGTGGTTGGTGAGAACCCTACAGCTGAACCACTGACGCTCTGAAAATTTCACATTCGTCAGTCTACATGAATTACAGATTTGTGCATGAATGAAGACAAAGATATATATTTCCGATATGGCAATCAAGTTTTCAGAATATTATAAGGGTTTATAACTTATTGAGACGGGATGTTTTACTGCTTTCACTGTTTGGCCGCACTGCTTGTTCATGCTTAGCCACTTCTTCTCATACCAAGGAACTAAATCAAACTGCTAAGGAAAATAATTTTATCATACACTGCTTTTCTGTGGTGAAAGATAAGGATACCCCCATCTCGAACTCCATCATTTGCGCTATAAGGTATACCACCAAAGTTTCTATATACACCTCAAAAAACAGATGCTTTTCAACAATATTGTTAATTAGAGAAAAGGTTATTACCATATTTTGTCGGATAAGATGAATTTAAAATGCTTCTGTGGCGTCGCGTGGTATATGTATCGCAGATCTTTATGCATAAACGCAAAAGACTACTACATTCATCTGACAATTCCCTCTCAAATTATTTGTCTAATATAAAATCTTCTAAAAATAAATAACGATAACGTGCCAGTCACATGCAGTCTGGTAGACTAGTTTACGAAGTGCTTTTATAGATCACAACTGTCATTAGTACGGCAGTTATAAACTTTGTTAAACTGGTTGGAATTTAATTTATACAGTTACCTGAAGAGCTCCTTCTCCGTTTCGGAACACAACCAAATTATGCTTTATGAGGTCTTGTGCATAGGTAAATGATGAAGATGACACATCTTGAAGAGCTTTCAGCTCTGCCTCTGCTGCTTTACCGTTATATGATTTAAAATTAATGCATGCTTTAAGGTTGATAGCAGTTGCACTATCAGGATGGCGTTGTAAATATATACCCAGTACTTCTTGGGATATATCATAATAATCGATTTTGTAGTAGCATAAAGCAATGTTAACATTCAAAGCTAAATAGTCCCTATTGTCTAGCAGAATACGTTTGTATATATCGATCGCTTCTTGATGGTGGTTTTTAAGGCTATGGACTGAAGCCAGAGATAACTGATCCTCTATTGAATTATCAAGTGCATTACGGTGACTGAGTAGGGAACGTTCATCATTAAACTTATGTGCTACGTGGAATAAAAGTCTGCTCTGCAATCTGCATACAGGACCGTCTTTAGCAGCTTTCAACGCTTCTTTGTACATTCCCAGAAAAAAATAGCAACATCCAAGATATGTATGAGCTTCTGGTGGAGCATTGGGTTTTCCTAAAATCTTTTTGTACTCATCTGCTGCCTTTTTGTATTCTCCCAGGTGAAATGCAGAATATGCAATCCATAGATCTGTTTCCAGCGTCGATTTGCCACAGCAACGCTCAAATTCTAAAAGCGTAAGTGCTCCAGTAAAATCTCTATTTTCGATGAATTCATGCAAACTCGGAATCTTTTTAGATTGAGCTTGGACAACATTATTCTTTGGTATAGCAGGTTTAGAGCGAGAAAGCATCATGTTTTTGAGTGTTAGAAATCAAAAAGGCGCTTTTTTGGATGTCATGACAACATCCAATATCCAATATCGTTTTTGCGAGCTAGTATAAACCAATTTGATTTCTTTGTGCTCGCCTCTTGATTGTGAGGTATAGGTTCCAATCCAATATCCAATATCTTTTTACGAGCTAGTATAAACCAATTTGATTTCTTTGCGCTCGCCTCTTGATTGTAAGGTAGAGGTTCCTGATCTTTGGTAAACGTCTGTGTAGCTCGTCCCGCCACTCGACTGTCGTAGCTTTGGTTGACTCCAACAGGAGTAGTGCTGGGATTAATTATATGGCGTCTGTAGTATGAAGTGTGTTAAGACTGTTACTACTGTGAATGGAGTTGATCCTTTCACCAGTTAGTCTTTCGGTATCGTCGTCAATGGAAAAGAGATAATAATAATAATGATAATAATAGATATAATTAGTGAAGGTATTCAGACTAACAGACAGAGAAAAAAAAAAGAAAACTTAACAACAGTCAGTCAACCGGTATACATATATATGTATCTACCAGTAATAATGATGATAATAATAATAATAAGTGTAGTTAAAGCTGTCAGGAGAGTAAGACTGAAGGGAATGTGAAGAAGTAAAACGACCAGTTTCATTGTCTACCTTTGAATGGTATATGCGATTTTAAGGGGATAGGCCATTTGGATACAGTCCTTGTGTCACTGCAAGGTTGTCCAGCCTTCGCTTAAAGGCGTCCACAGATGGTGCCATAGCTACATCTGCCGGTAAGGAATTCCAGGGGCGGCATACCCGCAGGGAAAAGAAGTGGGAGCGCACCCGGGTCCTTGCCCTCAGATGAGCTATCTTTCTAGGATTTCCACGAGGGAGCCTATACCTACTCAGTGGCGGAACACCTTTGTTTGGGTGATTTTGATCATTTGTTATTTTGTAGGCAGTAATCATATCCCCCCTAAGACGACGGTAACCAAGTGTGAATAGGCCTAATTTCTTCAGCCTTTCGTCATATGGTTTATTTCGGAGTCCAACCACTCCTTTTGTTGCCCGTCGTTGGGCTCTTTCCAAGAGGTTGGCGTCTCTTTTAAGCAGTGGGGGTGCAATGATATTATGCACTTCAAGATGCGGTCTGACGTATGTTTTATACAACCTTAGAAAGAGCTCAGGAGTGAGTGCACCTAATTGTCTATGTGTAAAGTGTATGACCGCATATGCCCTCGCTACATCCCCCGTGTAATTCACGCTTGTGTCCATTTTCTCCGTTAGAACTAGACCTAAGTCACGTTCCGACGTTGAGCAGGACAAGCTTTCATTGCACAGGGTGTAACTTGCATTCTGCAGTCTACAGGTGCGTAACTTCACTACTTTGCACTTTTTCAGGTTGAAAGTCATTCCACTGGTTACCGCCCAGTCTTCCAGAAGCCTTAGATCTGCCTGCAGCCTATCTGAGTCCTCCGGACACTTTACCGCCCTCCATATCTTTACGTCATCAGCGTATAGAAGAGTCGGGCAGTTTAGACACCATGGTAAATCATTGATAAAAATCAAGAACATCAGTGGTCCCAGGATAGAACCCTGCGACACTCCTGATGACGAGCTGTGCCAAGATGATCGGACTCGGTTGACCTTGGTGCAAAATTGCCTTTCAGTTAGGTAGTCCTTCAACCATGACAGAAGTGGTTTACCTAAACCTACCTGGCTTATTTTGTGTAGGAGAAGGTCATGGTGAACAGTGTCAAATGCCTTCTCAAAGTCTAGAAAGATCACATGGACTGGAACATTCATATCCCAGCATGATGTCCAATCGTCCCAAGCTGATAATAAGTTAGTGACGCAGGATATTCCTTTCCTGAAACCGTGTTGGGCTTCATGGAGTATTTTCGACCTATCCAGATATTCCCTGATGTGATCATCAATAATACTTTCCAGTACTTTCGATACCACTGGGAGTAGAGCTACTGGTCTATAACTGGTGGGATTTTGCCTATCCCCACCCTTGAAGATCGGAGAAAGGATGCTTCTTTTCCATTCCTTTGGCAGTTTCCCTGATTCCATGGAGTGTTGGAACAAGTCGCATAAAGGCCTACAGAGAGCTTCGGCGCACTGTTTCAGAACAGATGGCCTGATGTCATCACAACCTGGGGACTTCCCAGGTATAAGTCGCTGCAGCTTTCTCAGTACTATTGGTGGGTTTATTTGAGGGGTGGCTATTTGGTCTTCCTCCTGTGAAATAGTCATGCCACCATTTTGGTTCGTAACGGTAATACCCACATTGCTGTTTAGCTGTTTGGCGAAGGCTAAACTGAATGTTTCAGCCATCTCCAGACTAGTGAGATATTGACCGTTTTGGCCTACTAAGGCGCAAGCCCCTTGGTTGGTTGGTTTCCTTTCCAACATGAATCGGTACAAATTCTTCGGGTTTGCCAGGAGTTTTTTAGCAAGGTTAGCCTGGAATGACCTTCTGTCCCTCCTCACTCTTGCATTGCACCGGTTCCTGAGTTCCAGGTATGCATCATGGTCGATCTGGCTTCCAGATACGCGCCACGTAAACCAAGCCTTCCTCTTTGCTTGCAGAATACGCTGCGTGCCTCTCTTTAACCATGATGATTTTCTTTTTGGCTGTGCTGTGACTAAAGGGACGGTATCCGAGATCGCTGTATGAATAATCTTTTTTACCGCTTCCTAATGTTCATCCACAGACAGCTCATCCCATGCTAAGGGCCCGTCTGCATCGGACAAGAGCCTCCGCATTTCAGCATAGTCAGCCTTGCTGTAACACAGACATGGTTGCGTAGCGTCCCACTGCAAGTGCTCACGGAGAACGAGGTCGAAACCTATGAATGCATGGTCACTACTTCCTAGAGGAGTCATGACCTGGACCTTTTCGACGAGTAGTTGGTCACTAGTTAGAATGTAGTCTAGTTTTGATGACTTTCCACTAGGGCCCCACCTAGTGTCGTCTCCAACATTCTCAGTCAGTCCCGTGTCCCGAATAGCTTGCAGTAGATTTCGGCCGAATTTTCCCTTAGCATACCCCGAGCCAAGGTTCAGTGATGGGGCATTGAAATCTCCAGCAATGGTGATTTGGTCATAGCCCAAGTCTCGTATCCCTGTGATAGTGCTGAGCAGTAGTTGATTGTGCTCTGCCCCACAGGTGGGTGATCGGTAGATGCCACCAAGTAAATGCTTGGTGTGGCCTACGGTGAAATGACACCATATGGAGTCTGGGAGTTCAATAAGTGGTGGGTCCGTTGCGCGAACACATTTAAGTTGCCTATCAAAGTATATGGCAACTCCCCCTCCTTCCTTATTGTCCCTGTCTCTCCTGACCAAAACCATATCACCTATACTGATTTCATTATCGGCGATAGTGGGGGTTAGCCATGTTTCGGTGAGAATGATCATTTTCAGTTGTAGGTGTGCTTGGAGATTTCGGAGTTCACCTATTTTTACTCTCAGCCTCCTCACATTGCTATACAGGCAGCTGACAATGAGTCTTACAACCTCAGCGTGTTGTGGGGTAGTTGACGTGAAGCTATCTGCTGGTAGGGAACTTAGTGTTGGGACTAATTGGCCAGTCCCGATGGAACCGGCCCGTTGTGGTTTTTTCCCATGGATTTAGGCAGGACACTTGGGTGGCACAGACTGTTATTCTCAGAACTGCATCGCTCGAGTGTCACTGAAGCTTGGGGACGTATTAAAGCCTCAGTTTGCTGCCTCCTTATGGTTCGAGGTCTGCTTTCGCAACATCGGATGTTTCCTCCCAATTTCCCCTTGATCTCATACCACCGTTGAAGTGTTATGGCCAACTGCTCTGGGGAGTTGAATGTGACACTAAGCAGCCTTGGGGAGCTAATCAGTGTGAGATGAGCGGGGCGAGGTAGTCGGTAAACGGAGATGGCTCCAGAAGCGCCAAGGGCCATCTGAGACGACAGCCATCTCCACTGCTGTACGTCATGCATGTGTTTTTCACAGGCAGTGCCCGTTTCCAGCTCCGGGACACCGTGCACTACCATAGAGGTGGAAGGCAAAAGTTCCGGTGACTCCCTTGCCATTTGTCTGACAGCCCATGGTCTGTCTTGTCTCACCCTTATGTTAGAGCTTCTGTCGATGGCTAGTACCTGAGCCATCAATAGTACCTTTTCGGCCTCTTCGGCAGAGTCCAGTGTAACCCGTAATGGGGGTGGCTTACCTTGAGGTGTGTGGACACCCCTGTACAGCCTGCACAATTTCACTGAACTAATATTCAGACCTAGTTTATTGCACAGGTTGGACCACTGTTCCTGATCAAACAGGGCCCGCTGTTCAAGCAAGCTGTTCTTGCTCACAGGTACGTTAAAGAGGATGAGCGAATTAGACCGATTAACCTCAGACTTAGGTTTGGCCTTTGGCTTCTCATATTCCTTTGCAGCATCAGCAACTTTAGGCTTCATCGGGTTCTGGCCAGCCTTTATTGTGTTGCCAAGCTTGCTTGTGGATGCAAGTGGTGCTTCTCTAATTCTATCTTTCCTTGATGTTTTGGGTCCAACCTTTTGAATCTTCACCTTGTGAAAATTGGCATTTTCGGTCAGTAGGACAGGAGTGTCCCTCTTACTGTCTGTGCCAAGTTTTGGCAATGTGATGTTAGCAGGTGAGGAGCTGCATAAGGCCGTGTTGGGACACAAGGGCGGCGTGTTGTTTCTGCTATCCGCAGACACGCTCTATGTGACTATGCCAGGGCGACAGAGTGGACAGATGTACCAAAACCACGGGCATGGGTTATTTCTCATAAACTCGTAGTATGATTTCGGTACCTCTTTGTCGCAACGGCAGTGCACCCACCGTTTGCAAAAATTGCATTCGAAAGCTGAGTCAGCTTTAGAAACAATGATATTGCACGCCTGGCATTCGTCTCCCTTACTTGGTGACGCCTTCGAGGTCTTATGACGTCTTGAGCGTTTCCTTTTAGGTTTGTTGTACTTCAAACATTGGCTTTTAGTTGGTGCAGGTGTAGTAGTATCCTGTCCTACTAGTATTGCCTGAGCCGTTTCAGTACTAG